GGGGGTTGGAACTAGACGATCTTTGAGGTCCCTTCCAACCCAAACCATTCTGTGATTCTAAGTTTAGGAACAGCTGATGTGCAGGCAACAGGATTGCAGTGTTAAACAACCAGACAGTCGGAGCACGGAGCGCTCTGCCTGATGTGCTGCTCCTGCTCCTTGTGCAGGACCGACACTGCCCGGGGAAATGGCTGGCTGTGCCAAGGGGCATCGGCCCATCCTTGTAGGAACAAAAAGCGAAAAGGAAATTCCTTTGGGGGACCTCGGGGGAACCTGTGTCCTCAAATCCCATTCAGAAACTGTCTAAGCTCCATCTTCTTTTGCCTCAGAAAGATTAGTGCTGGGAAGTGCCCCAAAAGCCTCTTTTTGGGGTGTGTTACATCGAACAGCGTGTCACTTCTAGGAGCAACTGTGCTTGGTGGTGACCCCTTTGGTAAAGTGCTCTGAGGTTTACAGAGGACAGAGAAGGGTGAAGCGTAACCGCTGGTTGTTATTTCCTTCTGCAACACTGCTCAGGGGAAGGTGCTGATTGCACAGATCACTGCCGAGAATGAGAAACTGCTCCAGGAAAGAAGACGGCTCCTCCAGAAGGTAACCGACCAAGAGGAGACCCCTTGGAGCAACCGGTCTACAACTGCCACCCTGCAGAGCAGGTAGGCACTTAATGATGTTCACATCCCTGGGAGCCTGCCTCTTCCCAGCACTTCTCCAGTTTTATGCCTAATGCTCTTAAGAAATCCAGAGGAAAGCCCGAACTGTGCCCCAGTCATTAGTGTTGTGGCTTTTAATTGCTGTGGGATGTCTCCTTTCCTCATCAAAGCCCTCAGCATACAGCTGAAGGCTGTGGAGGCCAAAGGGTCCGAGGTTGAAAAAGAAAATGCTCCTTGTTTTCTGTAGCGTGGCCAGAAGGAAAATAATTCGTGCCTTGTGTGTGTGACATGTCAGGGTGAAGATCCTGGATGAGGAGAACGTGCGGCTGCACGAGAGCAAACTCCAGCTCTCTGGCCACGTGCCCACCTCGCAGCGCGTGCCAAGGAGCATCCATGCTTCCAACACGGAGGTGAGACTCTGAGAGGGCTCGGTCTCAGCAGACAGGTTGCAGGAGCTGATGCCTCCTCCAAATGAATCATGTCAAGCTCGAAGGGACCCATAAGGATCATCGAATCCAACTCCCTGCTCCTCGCAGGACTTCCTAAAACTAAACCGTATGACTAAGAGTGTCGTCCAGACACTGCTTGAACTCTTGAATGAGGGTTGGTATTTGTAGCTGCAGCTGAGGGTGCAGGAGAAGAGCTCAATCCTTCCCTTGGCATGGAAAGGGGCACCAGACACACATTGTCGATGAGGAGGGACTTTGTGGGGAACTGAAAGCTCAGAACACCTCCCCGTCCCCAAGCTGCTGTGAGATGAGAACCTTTTCATAAGGACACACGTTTCCCTTTGCCTCTTTTGCAGATTTAGAGTTGTTAAAAGAGCTCAGTTCTAAAGTTAGCTCTAAAATTAGGAGAAATAACCCAGAGCAGTGTGGTTGGGAATGTTACTCCTGTAAGCCAAAAAACCTCAGACCAAGCTGACCGATGATCTCCACTACGTGGAACTGAACGGAGATATGCCTCACCTAAAACTCAGTTCTGGACTGACCAAGTTAATGAAGAACTTTGGGGGGAGAAATGGAGAAAAATCCAGGAAAGTCAGAAATGGTGTTTCAAGAACTTTTCAAATAGAACAGGAGGATTTGGAAGCTTATTGGTACGTTTTGAAATTTGGAGGGAACCCAGTTTGTTTGGAAATGAGCTGTTAAGCATGAAAGTCCTGTTTGGGGCCTGGCAGAAAGAGCTGTTCGTGTGTTCCACTGTGGTTTCTTTCTTTCTGGTTGTTTCACCTAGGTTAGTTAAGCAGTCCATTTTTTTTTCAGTTTAAATTCAGACCCAAAAGACAAATCTATGATTAGTACCTCTGTGGGGCTGGAGTTCCTGGGGACAACTGCCAGTGGAGCTGAGGGCACTCTGAAGATCATGACCATATGTTGAAATTCGGGGTCTGACATGCACCTTCTCCTTTGAAAGTCTCTGTTCCTCCTTCCAGGACTCGAAGAGTGTTAACTTCTCCGAACGCCAACGACAGAGTAAGGTGTTGCCATCTCCCCGTACCAGGTACCGTGGGGTAAAAGCAGGAGGCAAGGAATGCCTCTCTGCTTGGGGTGAGGGAGAAGTTGAGCTTTTTGGCTGCTCCACTCTGTGCTTTCACCTCCAAAGGTCTTTTTTTTTTGTTGTTGTTGTCAAATTATAGGGAAAATTTTGTTAAAAAGACTCTGAAACTAATGGGATAGAGAAGTAATGTTTTCAAACTATGTCGTGGAACACTGTGGGATTGAGAAATCGGCTCGGTGCCCAGGGGTTTTGGAGGAATGTCTTTACACAAGAGGTTACGAGGCTTAGAGGACCACTGCTGCCCGGAGCTCTGTGTCCCACGTCCCAGGCTATGGGGCAGGAGGGGGCCTGAGCTACTGCTCCACCGGTGTAGCCAGGAGCACCACGATGTGTGCCAAAACAGGGAAGGGGAAGGCAGAGAGACTCTGCAACCCCGGTCCCTGCTTGCTGGAGACCCAGCACGGCAGGCTTGGTTACAGCCTTCGGGTGCTGTTGAGAGTGATGGACAGTCTGAGTAGGTTCTGGAGCAGATGAAGGCCATCAGCTGCTTGGCTGGAGGAAGAGTATCAGAGCCTTAGCCCATGCGAAAGGCACTGACCATCACCCTGTGCTGCCTCGCAGAGATGCTGGGAGGAGCGTTGGGGCTGTGTAGGTGGCAGACGGTCAGATAAAGTTTGCAGAATGACTTAAGAGAGAAAATTTTGTTTTCAGCTTCCCGTCACGAGAACTGCCAGACTCTCTCAGCACCCTGAAGGCCACGCAAGACACAAAGCCTGAAGGAGAAGCTGAAAGCCAAGACTCATCCTTTTGCTTATCCCCCTCTCAACCTTCTGAGATTGGGTACTTAAATGTAGTTTCACCTGGAGACACCACAGCCTCCCAGCTGCAGGAGGAGAGTCAGAGCAGCTCTGAGAACTTCTAAATGAAGAAAGTTGTTTGTAAAATATTAGTTGGACTGCAAGGTTCTGGGCTCCTGTTGCCATGGGATGACAAGGACTGCAGGGGGAGAATTGCCAAACGGACTGACCTGGTGTATTTCTGTGATATATTTCAGCTAAATTATTCAACAGCCTTTTTTTTTCCAACTTCCCCAACTGTAAATGTGTGTGATCCTACCTCCACCTGGAGGCTGGAGTTTGTAGATAAACTCAGTAAAGTGGGAGAGCGGTGGGGTGAAGCGTACCTTCCTCTGAACCCTAATTCCTTCTCCAGTCAAAAACTACAAGCTTTGTAAATAAAACTTGGAGACATCTTCCATGAAGATGATCCGAGGGCTGGAGCACCTCTGCTATGAAAACAGGCTGAGAGTTGGGGCTGGAGAAGAGAAGGCTCCAGGGAGACCTTCCAGCAGCCTCCCAGTACCTAAAGGGGCTACAGGAAAGCTGGAGAGGGGCTTTGGACAAGGGCGTGGAGTGACAGGACACGGGGCAATGGCTTTAAACTGAAAGAGGGGAGATTTCGATGGGATCTGAGGAAGAAATTCTTCCCTCTGAGGGCGGTGAGGCACTGGCACAGGTTGCCCAGAGAAGCTGTGGCTGCCCCATCCCTGGCAGTGTTCAAGGCCAGGTTGGATGGGGCTTTGGGCAACCTGGTGTAGTGGAGGGTGTCCCTGCCCATGGCAGGGGGGTTGAAACTGGATGATCTTGAAGGTCCCTTCCAACCCAAACCATTCCATAATTCTATGATTCCCTTCTGCTCTCTCTGATCCCGTCTGCTCTCTGCCATGTGCCCACTTTTCTTTGTTCCCCTTGGTCTGTGCACATGAAGGAAGACAGAGGGGATGAGGGCAACCAGGCCTGCCAAGTATGTGCTCTGCTGGATAACAGCATTTTTTTTTCGGATCGCGACCTGTTGTTCAATAACAACCCTCCCAGCTCCCTTTTTCAAGGTGACGTTCTCACAGCTGAGTCCAGCTTGTAATTACATCTGTTAAATAACAATCCTCCCAATTCCCTTTCTCACAGCTGAGTCCAGTTAGTAACTTTCTGGCGTGGCCCTACACGGACCATCATCTACAATCCCCTACACGTACCACCGTGTGGTCCGTAGCTGGGACACAACGATATTCCACAACCCGTACCATGGTGCGTGACGTTCTCACAGCTGAGTCCAGCTTGTAATTACATCTGTTAAATAACAATCCTCCCAATTCCCTTTCTCACAGCTGAGTCCAGTTAGTAACTTTCTGGCGTGGCCCTACACGGACCATCATCTACAATCCCCTACACGTACCACCGTGTGGTCCGTAGCTGGGACACAACGGTATTCCACAACCCGTACCATGGTGTGGTGTACAGCTGCATCAACAATAGTTGGAATGATAGTAACCAGACACGGTGCACAACAGACCGAGCGTAACAAACAAACAAATGCCACCTCTACATAAGACCAGCAACGAGTGTTTCAACCAACCCCACCCCCATGTCCATCCAGCAAACGGGTTCCATCTGGTGCCTTTTGGGGCAGGGGGGCAGACGGAAGCTGGAGCGGTCTTTTTGGCAAAGGCTTGATTGGTGGGCTTAAATTCAGAAATCCAAGCGCGTTTCCCTGAGCTGGAACACCAACTCACTGGATGACAGCGATGATCTCGATACCTACGTTTGATCGAGTTTCACAGAGATGGTGGCCTACTCTGCTCAAAGGCGGGTTGGTTTTTCCCCACGTACAGGTGTGCAACCTCTCTGCGCAGCTGCAGTCGGAGTCCCAACGATCTCTGCAGCTCAGAGCCGGAGCAGTCAGGACAAAGAAGCAGTACCGCAGTCTGGTTTCGCAGGTAGTTCACGGTCCGTTTGTACCTGTAGTCAGGGTGGTGTTCACTGGTGGTTGTGGTCATGGCTTTAGGCGCTTTGTCTTGGGCGTCTGGTTCTCTTGGTTAGTGCTGAGGGTTTGGCTTTCCTGTAGCTGCTCCTGGGGAGATGCCAAAGGCTGCGTCCAAGTGCTTCTGCGTGTGTCAGGGGACCTGTGTGCGTGAAAAACCTGCAGCCTTTTCTTCCTCCTCCTCCTCCTTACAGTGTTGTAGTGAAGTGCGGAAACAGACTCCACAGCTGGGAAAGCTGCCCAGTAGGTGTGTTTATGGCAGCGCTGGGTGCACGGGGGATC